GCTTTTAAGACCCCAGACACTACTCACCAAGGTAGAATGTAGAGCATTATCTTTATAAGTAGTGTCATGCCAATTGAGCTAGATGTTCCCCGAGCAGATCTATTATCTTTTAAGTGCCATCTCCTCTGTGAATTCTTGAGGCCACCTGCCTTCTTGGTTTTCTAGCGCTTTTTGCACTCCATACCTTACATTCAGCATTTTGTCCTTTCTAGTGTTTTATTCCCCTTTTATACTCTGTGGTTTAATACCAACAAGTGTGAAGACCAAACTCTGGAGATACATAAATTCATCAAATTATTACCGTCCAGGGATACTTGCAAAAACTCTGAAATCATTTTACATTCATGACTAACTTCTCCACAACATCTCAAGTAAACAATAATGTTAGATTTCATCATTTAAAAATTAATTTTTTTTATTTAGGTAGGTTTGGAAATGCACTGGAATCTAAGATACTACCATATCTAAAATACGGTGTATATTTTCCTTTGAATTCATATTATTAATTTTAACTTGGTTTTATACAAAGTTGCTGCTTGGTGTAAATATTTAGAAGTACTGAAGCGTCCTAATTTTTATAGGCAAGACAATTAGGAAACAAAGAAGTTAAGTGAGTGGCTTAAGGTCAAATGATTACTCACCAACAGGGCTGGGAGTTAAAACATGGCATGCTGACTTCCTGGCCTATGCAGTTTTCAGTAAACTGTAATATGTCATCATGTTCCCATATTAGAAATTATTGCTATTATTAAGCATTTAATTTTTATTTTATTAAGTGACATCATTCTAGATTGTTTACCTTAAGTTGCCTCAATGTTAATCAAAATAAAATATTGCAAAAACATTTTTGAACTGTTCTTGTTTCTCATCATATTCATAAGCCATTATTTTTTTCCTAAATGGGCCATACAAGTATTTTCATCTTCCCACAAAATTATTTGTATTTTTTTCCACTCTTGTGTTTCATCCTTCCACATTTGCTATTGCTCTTTATTTTACCAGGCTAGGGAAAGGAAAACAGCTAAACATATTTTAGTACCCTCCAAAACATTATAGGTAAAATAAAGAAGCTTCATACAGGAATCCAGAGACAAGGGAAGATGATGGGGCATTTACTTATTGGTATAGATTTTAATGCGGGGTGAGAAATGGAAAGTTTAAGGCAGTGAGGGAGACATCAAAAGGAAACAAAACAAGAAGAGAGAAAGGAATTGGTTGGAGTTTAAGGAACATTGCAGGCTTAATGCAAGGTTATAATGAAGCAGTTGTAATTTTTTTTAAATGAAGCAGAATTTTATCTTCTCTGCTGTTGTCATATTTGTCACGTTTTTCCATGCACAGAATAGGCCTTTCAGCTGTTTTGCCCTCATTCCAGTGGAAGTTGTCAATAGATTGCCTCTCCATCCTGGTAGTGGCAGGTTCTACCATCCACCCACTTGTGTCTTTTCTTCCATCTGAAAAAACCAACCAGTTGCCGTCACATCGTTTCTGGGTGACCTGATGTAGGTCAAAGTAGAACTGTGCTCCATTGGGTTCTGATTTTTCAGAAGTAGATCACCAAGGGTTTCTTCTGAGGTACCTCTGGATAGACTCGAACTTCCAACCTTTTGGTTAACAGCCTAGTGCATTAACCATTTGCACCGTCTAGGGACTCCTTATCTATCTGATGATACACTTCAATGCAAGCAGATATTTGTGTTCAAGTTTCTCATTCATCCCTCAGACCTGTCCCCACCCCAAGCCTAACTCTCCATGGTCTGGATTTCTTTATAAGTCTCATTTGAATTAATTGTCAACTACTCAATTTTGCTGGTCTTTGCACTGTGGGGTGTGTGTGTGTGTGTGTGTGTGTGTGTGTGTGTGTATACTGGGCAGTAGGTTAACAACTTGGAACTCCCCAGCTCCACAATCATCATTTCTTTGGTGGAGTGAAGCTCACATTTATCCAAGAACCCAAAGTTCTGACTGAAAGCTTCAGGGAGAGCTGGGCTTCCCTTTTCTTTGATTTTTTTATGAGTGTAGATCATACAGCTATTAGTTTGATTTGATTTGTGCACAAGAACTGGGGGTAAGAATTTATTTTTTTCAGGGTGTTTTGCATACTATTAATGAACCAAACCTAGGCTATGTTTTTGACTTCCCTGAAGAATTACATTTAGCTATGTTACTAAAATACTGTAAGAGAAAGAAATGTCCCAATTTTAGACAAGGGAAAATATAAAGTCTTTCTGTTTCCAATAAGAAGGTACACTATCAAATATATAGTTTGAAATAAACATAAAGCCCAGAAGTGCCACAGTAATTTTCCCCCATAAGTAGCCTTAAAAAAAAAAAAAAAACAAGTTTAAGAAAAATTAGAATCAATAATTGTGGTGAAAGCACGGAGCCAGCAAATATGTTTAAATGAGACCGTCTGATGCAATACTTTTCTTTAAAAAAATACAATTAGACCTTTGTGTTTTTTTTTTTTTTAACAAAACCTCATGTTTTACAACATCATTGGTTCTGTAATAAAATCTATTTAAAACAGAGAGACATGGTCAGCTTTATTAAGTTAGATTTTCTGAAAGAACACTATAATTTCCTCAAGTCTATGAATAGTTGAAGCAAATTAAATAAAGCTACTTTTATAACTATTTTTATACATTCCTGTAGAATTCTAATTGTCTCATTTTTTTTTTCCTCAAAAGTCTAATACGTTACCTCTTAAATCTGGAAAAATAAAAACAGAAAAAGGATCAAGAATGTTTATTAAAAAACCACTTCTATTTGGTAGCCTGATTTAGCAACCCCCTTGTTCTGTATGAGAGTAGCACCCATAATCTTCAGATCAGGAAACAAAGGGAAAGACTTTAAGTGACTCGCCTGAGGCGTAATGCTGAGATTAAAAATCAGGAGTGTCTGATTATACACATACATCCATTTGGCCAAATGATTGGCTTTGCTTGACTTTCAAATACCCTAAATATTACTTTGAATGTAAAGCAATAAATGTGTTTCTCTTGCCATTTTTGAATGCTTGCACACAAATGGATATAATAAAAACAATTATGTTGTTCCATGTGAATGCCATTTATATTTTTTCTGATAATGAGCAGACCATTTGAACCAAGGTGAGTACATTAAAAGCTCTAATAAAGAAGAGAATAGATTTCGAAACAGAATAATCGACTGTTAAGTGAACATACAATAAATAACTTCTACAGATGTGGTCGCTAGAAAATTAGTTTTGCATAACTTACCAATATACACTTCCCCCAGATGTTATCTGTTACATGAAAATTAACTTAGTTATATTATTCATTATGTGTACATTGCATTAATGTTATTTAAGATGGTTTACAATCAGAGCTTTAGTTGAATTGTGCTGCAGTATTTAAAGAATATCAAGTAAATGGCTTTTTGGCTTAATTTAATACTCATAAGTACAAAATTTCATTGCCGAACATTATGTAGATTTCAAAAATTTGAGCTCTTTACTTATAAGCCAAATGGACTCACTAGAAATCTTTTAAGAAATTACATATCCAATATGAAATGGACATCTACCGTGGGACTAAATGATAGGAATTTTGAACCCCCTTGGACTAAGTACAAGATCAGTTTGGGTCTAAAACCATGCTTATAGGAATTAGGACCTCCTTCCACATC